TCCAATCTCATCGGAAATAAGTTGATAATACTTTAAAAAAATCAAAGAATATATGCCTAAAAATATATTTTCGGAGAAACAGATTTTCATAATTTGACCGTTTTTATTATCAGTTATTTAGTCTTTATTTTTATTTCCAGATTTATTTAAGTGGCTTCCGGAATCCCAGTTTAGATAAGTTACGTAAAATCATAAATGCCGGTGGAGCAACAAGGTACGAGTTATTGTATTAAAATATTATTACGTGCCTTACTGACAAACATGTTATAGATATACAATAAAATAAAGATTTGTAATTTAAACATACATTATGCAAGAGCTAAATCTGCCTATTGCAAGTCTTTCTTTAGGCCTGAAATTCTATCTAAATTATTAATTAGACATTAATTAACTTATCCAGACCATAATCAACTCCGGTATGAGTATAATATTATGTATATGTTTTGTATGAGTATAATATTATGTATAATAGTATGTATAATATTATGTGTCTGTTTTGTATGAGTATAATATTATGTGTCTGTTTTGTATGAGTATAATATTATGTATAATAGTATGTATAATATTATGTGTCTGTTTTGTATGAGTATGATATTATAATATATATTATGTTGTAGGTTTAACAGTATCAATGAAGGTGTAACACATGTTGTTATTGGTGAACCTATAGAATCAGATCTTAGTTTACTTACATCAGGAGAATACAGGTTGATTATACATTATTACAGTTATTATTACAGTTTACATTATAAATAATAATAAATATCACATTCCTGTTAAATTTGAGAGAGAAGAGAAAGTGTTTAACATTCACTAGGTCATTTCTAGACATTTTTACTTTGACTGTCCAACCTCGTGGGTTTTCTCTGGGTCCTCTGGTTTCCTCCCACTGCTAAAGACCCCTACGCGAAATAAAATTGAACCATGTGTTAGTCCCGAAATGACCTAGTTTGTGTCGAGTGGACGTTAAACCCCATTTCTCTCTCTCTCTTTTTACTTTGAATGGCATTCAGTAATTGGAACATAATCAAATAATACACTGTTTATGAAATAACAATTACTATGGTTTATTTCACTGCAAAGTTTCAACAAGATTTGATAGCTCGTTATCAAGCATATATCAACACAAATAAATATCGGCCCTCCAGAATCTTACAAATGTTAAAGATCCATATGCGCAAGCAAATTATTGTAGTCCTAGATTTAGAACATTTTTTTTTCAGACCCTTCCCAGTTACTGCTCAGTGGTTGGTTGATTGTTTTAAATTGGAAAAACACCTGGATGAAAGCAACTACCTGTGTCTTAATTTACCAGCCCCTCAACCAAATTCACCTCAAGTCAAAAAGTATGATCAACATTTCTTAATCCATCCAATTTTTTTTCTGGGGTACCGTCTTCATTAGCTCAGTAGGAGCAGAACAGTAGGACATTAAACCCCATTTCGTGTTGGTTTTTTTTCTGGGGTATATTTAAAAAACTGTTCAAGAAATCTTTATGAAACTTTGTACACATCGACTTATTATTATAGTTTTGCCTTTTTATAATTAGGAATTTCTGGAATTTAATTATTTTTATGTTTCCATGGAAATAAGATGGTATACATTATATACTAGGATGTGAGGTGTTTTATTTATCAATTTTTATACGCCCACATTGAAATCTTAATCAGATTTTAGTGTATTATAAATGTTTCATTACTGAAAAAATAAAAACATGCGAGAACTCTTGTTGACTGACCGGACGATTTAGCTGCTGTGGGCGTATGTTTTGTTGCTTGGCAACCTATTTTTATTTTTTTATTTTTTTTCCACAGTAAATCAAAAAGTAAAACTGCTAAAAGTAGTCATGAAAGTACGTTACAAGCCGCAGCAGCCAATCTTCAAGATGACATGGAGATGGATGATATACTCAGCCAATATTTACCAAATCAAAGTGAGTTTTATTGTATTACACTGTCTCTTATTCACTCCCGGATTTCCCACCATGGTTTCTAACCTCGTGGGTTTTCTCCGGTTTCCTCCCACTGCTAAAGACCCCTACATGTACGTGCAAGTGGTTCTGATTCCCCGGTTGTATGTGAGAAGGAGTATGGTTGCCTGTTCGTGTCAAGTGGACATTAAACACGATTTCTCTCTGTCGATAAAGACCCCTACACGCAAGCAAATTTTTAAAATAAAACTTAACCATGTTAGTCCCGAAATGACCTAGTTTGCTAGATTTGGACTGGACGTTAAACTTCATTTCTAACTCTCTTTCCCCCCCTGCATTCCCCCCTCCCTCCAAAAAAAATCCCACCACCACCACACATACAAGTGAATTATTGAAATAAAATTGAACCATATGCTGATCCTGAGGTGACCTAATTTGTGTGGAGTGGATGTTAAACCCCTCTCTCTATACAGTTACATATTTTGATATTTTAGATAATAATCAAAAAGAAGGAACAGAAGCTGAGATGGAGCCTGATTTACAACCAGAACCTGAAGTAGAAACACAAGGTAAGAGTCTGAATTATCAGCCCCTTGTCCATAAAATCAACATAAACCCCAACCTACACTGTAACCCAGTTATCAATCTAAAAATAGTATTTACAATGATATGAATTTAAAATTTCACAAACATTCGACATCATCTTCAGACGATATAAACAACCACAATAAGTATGTGGTAAAATTTTGATGGCTTTTTTTTAAATCTAATTGATTATTGATATTTTGAGGTTTTTTTCTTAAAAGAAAATCAGATAAAGAGCTAACACAGTTCTCACTGTAATAGTTAAAAAATAGTAACGTAAATATAATACGCTGAAAATTTTAGTCAAATTACTTCACTCTGAGCCAAGAAAACTAAATTTCAAAAGCACTGTCGCCTCGATTGTCATTATTACCGTTGTTACGATAATAAACAAAGTATTGATTGGAATCGCAATCTGTTTAAAATTGTACCCATCAGATGGCATCTAGAGTTGATTATGGTCTGGATAAGATAATTAATGTCTAATTAATAATTTAGATAACATTTCAGGCCTAAAGAAAGACCGGCAATAGGCAGATTTAGCTCTTGCATAATGCATGTTAAATGATAAATATGGGTAAGATGCCGTTTGGAAAAATAGAATCTTACCTTTTCCCACTTTTATTTTCAGACGAATCTACGTTTGTTGAAGGAAAGATATTTTCCGGTAAAAAGTTTATATTCTTGGGTTTTGATGAAGGAGAACAAAGTAGTTTATATGAGTTCGTCGTCGAGAGGGGTGGCAAAATCTGTCCCCAAAATAAACGTCAAGTCGCGGACTATGGTGTTGTACCAGTTTTTGGTTATCCAGTGACTGTAGCTGTCCGAGAAGTTGTTACGTATGCTTGGGTAGTAAGTAGAATATTGAACATGTTTTTATGTATACTGTGGTCTCGATTGTTAGTGGATATAAAAGATCCCTTGGCAGTTGAAATTTAAAGAATAAGTAGAAACTGTACTATTTGGGGGTCTGTACTTATAATTGATGTACTACTTCACTCTCTATCATTTTACCTGTTTTCATTAGCCCAGTCGGAGCAGAACAGTAGGATGTTAAACCCTGTTTCATTTCAATTCACTGTATGGTGTAAGCCCATCTTCATTAGCCCAGTCTTGTTATACAACATTTAATACATAAAAGTTTTCTAAAATGAAATTTAGATGGTGAGGTGAAATGGCGGAACAAGATGGAATGGTACCATTACTGTTACAATTTGTGAAATCAGATCTCTCCTTGTAGTCTCCCAAGGTCTCCCCCACTTCTCCCTATTTTGCCTGTAGAGAGAAGTCATTTCCCACTAAAAATTGATCCTAGTTTGAGCCCTGCTTGACAGTTGGAATTCGATATATGAGTAGGCCATAGTGCCCCTGTCCAGGCAACATTTTCCACATAGCACACTGTATGGTGTATGCCCGTCTTCATTAGCCCAGTTCAGAGCAGGATTTGTTCATAAGTATTGATTTTATTTCAGCAAATGTGTATTGAAGAGGAAGCATTATTAGATATAGATTCCAACACTTTGTTCCGACCAATGGATATTATAGATGAAACTAAACCACTGAAGGGCTGTGTTATCTCCGTTAGGTATGTATTTGAATTAAGGGGTCGCTGCACGATTATTCAAAAGGTACTTGTAAAAGAATCCTGGACACTTAGATACGCTGCTGTCCGGTTTAAATTTATCTCATAAAACACTACTTGGTGTATGTCTGTCTTCATTAGCCCTGTTTGGCTCAGAAGTCTACAACGTTAAATCTATTTTATTTCATTTTATTTCTTTTGAAATATCAAATAACATAATTTTAATTTTTATAATTTCAGTGGTTTTTCAGGAACACAGCGAGGCTGTATAACAGATTTAGCAGAAATACTTGGTGCCATGTAAGTGTTAAAACATTTTAATCCTCACTTATTCACCATTTCAAACATGAACCATTGTGCTTGATAACGATAAGAGTATACTTGTCGAAACATCGTGCTTTTAGAATAAAACCAGTGATTGTTTTCCATAAGGGGGGTTGGATGGCCGTATGGTTAGTACGTGCGTGCTGTATCATAAAGCCTGTCATTGAGTCAACTGGCTTGGTTTCGAATCCCCGGTTGTACGTGACAAGGAGTAGGGTCGCCTTTCCAACCTCGTGGGTTTTCTCCGGGTCCTCCGGTTTCCTCCCACTGCTAAAGACCCCTACGTGCAAGCGAATTATTGAAATAAAATTGAACCATATGTTAGTCCCAAAATGACCTAGTTTGTGTCGAGTGGATGTTAAACCCCATTTCTCTCTCTCTGTCTCTCTGTTTTCCATAAAAATTGTGTTCTGTTAATGTGTTTCCCAATTGCTAAATGCCACTTTAAAATTAGATTATGAATAGTTGTGTTTTTTTCAAATTTCTATTTTTGAACTATTATAGCAAGAATGGCCAACTCTCTCTCTAAATCTTGCATAATGTGTCTTTAATATTTCTGCGTATTTGTAGATGCCAAGATTATTTTATGAAAAATGCTAGTAAAGGTCACTTAAAGTGTAGTCATCTGGTAGTCAACGAACCAAAGGGCTCCAAATATTCAGCATCTGTTAAATGGAATATACCAGCTGTAGATAAAGAGTGAGTAGGTTATATTATGGTGTTATACAAGGCTCTGTACTTGAACCTTTCGAGTATGCATTAAGGTTCTTAATTCATTGGTTCTCCACAGCGCGATAAAGGAAATAAAATGATTTAGGGTTTAACACCCTGTTTTCCTGCTCCATTCGGACTAATGAAGATGAGCATACGTCTTGCTATGAGGGACATATTACCCTGACAGCGTCCTGCTCAGATTTCAAAATTCAAACTGTCATGGGTTCTTTTGTATGTGTGCAGAACCTCAGTTTTTTCTTACCATCTGAAAGAGTTGATGCTTTTACTTGCCAGACCTTTCATCCTGCACCACTGACAAGGACAAACCACACCAGATTAGCAAGCCAGTGCCTAAATTACTGAGCCATATTGATTTTTGTCAGTTTTCTATATTTGGACCTCTGCGGATCACATTTCCTATGGATATAAAAAACTTTCATCAAAACTTTTAAAAAACATTTCCAAATATTCTCATTTAAAGCCAATCCTTATCTGTTCATTTTATATTCTTTTTTTAACTTTATAGGTGGATATTTTCTTGCGCTCAGTCAGGTAAAAGACTACCCGAGGAAAATTTTCTGATAGAGACTTATTCCAGAACTGTTCAGAAACCAAAAAAGGAAACTCAAGCACCCGAAACTAAACAGTCTAATAACATACACATCTCTGAAGCAGTACAAGCACCTGCAAGTTCGAAAGATTCTCACAATAAAAAACAAGCTTCTGAACCAATAACTTCAAAAGCAACTCCTGGTAAAAAGCACGCTCCTGAGCCAACAAATTCGAAAGATTCTCACTGTAAAGAGCAAGCTTCTGAGCCAACAAATTCGAAAGATTATCCCGCTCAAAAGCCAGCCCCTGTGTCAACAATTTCGAAAGATTATCCCGCTCAAAAGCCGGCCCCTGTGTCAACAATTTCGAAAGATTCCCACACTAAAAAGTATGCTTCAGTGTCGACGAGTTCAAAAGGACTGCCCGCTGATATTGATGCAGATAGCGATGAAATAACTTTTAAGGCTAATCAACAGTCAAACAGCAAAAATCAAATCAAATCTTTGAACGAGAAAACAAATGTCCAGTCATCCAATGATGATAAGGTTTTGCGTTCTTCTGGTGAAGGGGAAGAAAAAGTGCCGTCATCATCAGCGGAAGAAGTAAGATCTAATGTAGTGAATCCTATGGAAGGTATCGTGGATCGAGTAAGAAGCCGTGCTTTACAAGACAATCAGCTTGTTAACGTAAGACAGGAACAGACGGACTCACCTCAAATAAAACCCAAACATAATCGTTTACAGGTAAGGTTCATGCACATTAGAATTGTCTTTGTTTTGGTAGGGGGGTTGGATGGCCGAATGATTAGCACATGCGTGCTGTATCATAAGGCCTGTCATTGAGTCAACTGGCTTGGTTTCGAATCCCCGGTTGTACATGACAAGGAGTAGGGTCACCTGTCCAACCTCGTGGGTTTTCTCCGGGTCCTCCGGTTTCCTCCCACTGCTAAAGACCCCTATGCTCAAGCGAATTATTGAAATAAAATTGAACCATGTGTTAGTCCCGAAATGACCTAGTATGTGTCGAGTGGACGTTAAACCCCATTTCTCTCTCTCTCTTATTTTAAGTATTGGTGAGATGTCAATCAAAAGGGTTTTACCAAAAACGTGTAGGTGGCACTGGTTTGTTTATATCATCTACACAGAATGCTGAATGGGGCAAATTTTTCAATTCATCCCATCTTTGTAAATGGTCAGCAGTAAATTGGACTCAAGTTTAGTCCAACATGGCCGCATATATAATTATTATTTTTTTTTTTTTTTTTTTTTTTTTAAACAATATTTTATTCAGAAACTGAAAGGGATTGAGGAAGAGGCATAGCCTATATGACCTCTCTCCTAGGGCTAACCCTAACCCCAAGTTATAAATAGACTGATTAATATGTAGGGCGGCCATGCTGAACTCAACTCGGATCCCATTTATCTTTTCCCCTTTGTATATACTTAAACTTACATTATGCAAGTGCTAAATCTGCCTGTTGCAGGTCTTTCTTTAGGCCTCAAATGTTACCTAAATTATTAAATAGACATTAATTAACTTATCCAGGCCATAATCAACTCTCGATGGTATCGGATTTCTCCGATATTAAATAGATTAGAACAGTTCAGCCATATTTTAATTTAAGCTAAAAATGGAGGAGCAAGACTATGGTTGAAATTATTGCACACATCTTATCAAACCTTCAGAATCTAATATCTTCGCTCGCAATAGAGTAATTTGAATGAAATTTTCAAATTATTCATTTTACATGATCTATTTTCAAACTATTATAGCAAGAATGGCTAGCTCTTTATCTAAATCTTACATAATGTATCTTTAACGGAATTAAAGCATTTCCACACTGATATTGCTTTTAGACATTCAGCTTTCATAATATTGATGTTTACCAGGGAAACAAAATCACTTTGGTGACTAGAGGCGTATAGAAATAAAATTAGAAATCTCTGAACCATTTTATATCGAAATGGATTCACAATTAGGAACTTTCGCAACGAATGGCTATAATTTCATAAGATTTAGTTCCGAAAGGTTCCCTCATTCTTCATGTTTATAGAAATACTTTATTTGGTAAAGAGTAAATGCTAGGTTCCCACTTTCCCGATTCACGCTACGATTGAAATTGTGGTTTTAATCATGGAGTAATCGTGGTTTTTCTACTATATTGTGGTCAGTCGTAGCAATCGTGTTGATAATATCGTAACGAATTCTAATGTATCTGCAAGTACCAGATCGTCGACTCAATAGGGACAATCCTATCGTAACGCATCGCACCACAGTGGAAACCTAGTATAAACAGACGCTTAGCACAGAATAACTGTTGACTTCCAGGGTTTTGGGAGGTTTTTTTGCTTTCTTATTTTCATATAGATGTGTTTATATATCTGATTTATATGGCAGGAACTGAAGAATCCCAATACACCTGGTCCAGGAACACCGACGATGGATACACCCAGTAAATTCATGAAACCAGGGATAGATTTTAATCCAAACTATAGTTTCACAGTAAGTCTAAATTACACACAGCTTTACATTGTTCTAATAGGGGAGCCGCGCTGGCTCATTGGGTCAGGCACGGCTCTGTACCAGGAGGTCTGTAGTTCGATCCCAGTGCAGGAAGTGGGGCCTGGCAAGGATATCATCTAGTCATTCAGATGTTTACACATTGGTATGCACATAAAAGAACCCTTGACAGATCGAATTCTGTCTAGGTAAAATTTCTATCATAGCACTGCATTTCGTAGTACCGCAGTATACTGTATGAGGTATGCCCATCTTCATTAGCCCAGTCAGGACAGAAAAGTAGGACGTTAAACCCCATTTTATTTCATTATAATGCTGACTTAAGATTTTGAGAACTAAAATGTTTTTGTTGTGACGGACAATTCTACGTGGCATCGAATGGGGAATACCTGCTTGCGATCTTTGAATTAATGAAATATAAATATATAATTTTATAATTCCTTAATTGTGTTAGGTGGACATTCAACATCATCTCCATCCATCGTACATCCCTTATTTTCAACTAACTTTGTTTTTACCCCTGTATTATTTATATTATAGGATTTAATGAAGAAATATCAGTCCCCTGAAAACAGACGAGATAGTTTTGATGTAAGTTTTTCTCTGTCATTCTTGCTCAATGTAAAAAAAATTTAGCCTATTTTCTTTACCAAGTTTAAATTAAATCTTAAATATCTACTATTGGTTGGTTTTAATAGAATTGATTTAAAGGATTAAAAATCGAAAATAAGTAAACATAGTCATTACATTGTGTGAGAACTGTGTAAGTTTACTAGTTACATACAATATTTATAGGAACTATGTAGTTCTAGACAATGTTTATATTTTATAGGAACTATGTAGTCAAACATTAAAGGCAGCTGTAGAGAAGAGTGCTATACCAGTAGATAGATGTCCTACACCTCTTGTATCTAGAAAAGAATCTATTCTACCTGCAGTAAGTTATACTATATTATTCTTTAGTTTAATAGGGGAGCTGCAGTGGCTGAATGGGTCTGGGGTTTCCTCTCTGTTTTGGCCTATAAAGTTCTTAAGGATTTTCCGGCATTGTTTCCCCTTGTCAACTGCAGGACGGGCAAGGGCCTGGCAAGTAAAAAAAGATCTAGTTTTTCAGAGAGAACAAAAAAAAATGTGATCCACTCATGTTGACATGTACATGAAAGAACCATTGGCAGTTAGAATTTGAGCTGTAGGTATAAATGTCCCTCATAACACTGCATGATGTTTCCACGTCTTCATTAGATTGGTGGGTGCAGAAAAGTAGGCCATTAATCTTCATTTTATTTCAAGTTATTGTGGTCATATTTTATCTTTAATGCTGTCCATCCAGCTGCCTGGTGGGTGCAGAAAAGTAGGACATTAAACCCCATTTCATTTCAGGTTTTTGTGGTTATATTTCATCTTTAAGTCCATCCGTTATTCTGTCATTTCATTTTCAAAAGATATTTGTAACTGTAGGGTCACCTGTCAGACCCCTACACGCAAGCAAATTATTGAAATAAAATTAAAACCATGTGTTAGTCCCGAAATGACCTAGTCTGTGTTAATCCCATCTCTCTCTCTTGTAACTGTAAATGATTATATTCATATTTTCCAGATTGTAAGACCGTTGTCAGGAGTAACTATCTATGTTAGTAAGAAATTATCAGCTAAAATATCTCAATTTCACGACATAGTCTCAGAACTAGGTGGAGATTATCAGTGGAAATATACACCTAGCTGTACTCATGTTATCTTCCAGGTAGGTTCTACATTCCTTTTATAACAATCATTCCTTTTATAACATATAACAATCATTCCTTTTATAACAATCATTCCTTTTATAGAACAGAGCCACTGTGGCTCAGTGAGTAAGATACTTGCTTGCTAACCAGGAGATCACAGGTTCGCCCCTGGTATTGACCAAGAAAGTTCATCAAGATTTTCCGGCGTGGTTCCCCAGTATCTGTTTTTCATTTTTGAGGGCCTGGTAAGCTGCAATGTATAGTGGTTTCGATGGGATGGAAAACTAAGGTCCCGCATACACATTGGCATGCACATAAAAGTTGTCTGGGCAGAATTTTCTTCATGGTAGGGTGACCCGTGCACTCTACAGAAAGTTGGTCTCGACACGGCTAATGTGCACGCTTCAGTGGTTGTCTCGAATAATCAGCGGTGGAGTGTATGATACTATAAATAGCCATGGCACGTGCAATTCTCTACAAATCTATCAACTATTACAACCGTAAAAAATCTATTGTTGACGATTTTGAATAGCCGTAAAATTTAGCTTCTTGGTTATTACAGCAGCTTTAGAAATTACGTTCGTTTTATTTTTTAAATTGCTTTATCATTAACTGTACCACTAAGAGCGGCATCTTTTGGCTTAGTACAAATAATATCTCTGAATCACACGGGTTAGACAGGAACATGATACTAGCAGTAGTTTCATTTTACTTTTACAAGGTTCTTAAAACAATTGTTGAGCTGATTTAAGGCTTGGTATATATATAAATATTGTGGCGTAATTGTCGAGATATTTGGAGATATTTATTTACGGTGGGCCACCCTATTCATGGCACACTGTATGGCGTATGCCCATCCCCGATAGCCCAGTCAGAGCAGAACATGTACAGTAGAGTTAAATCACCCATTTTCATTTAATACTGTTATGTTTTATATCGAAAGCATGACAACCAAAGGCCAAAGCAATTTGGTTACGTAACTACATTTTACAAATGTTTTAAGATTTAAAAGCTTTTGAGAATATAACATCTTAAACATACATTATTATTCAAGAGCTAAATCTGATTATTGTAGATCTTTCTGTTGGCCTGAAATGTTATCTTAATTATTAATTAGACATTGTTTAACTAAACCAGACCATAATCAACTCTCGATGCCATCGGATTTCTCCAATATTAAATAGATTAGAACTCTTCAGCCATATTTTGATTTAATTTAAAAATGGAGGAGCGAGACTTAGCTTCGAACAACCAGTACGGTGGTTGAAATTATTGCACGCGTCTTGTCAAACCTGCAAAGGCTAATATCTTCGCTCGCAAGTCGCAATAGAGTAATTTGAATGAAATTTTCAAATTATTCATTTTACATGATCTATTTTCGAACTATTATAGCAAGAATGGCCAGCTCTTTATCTAAATCTTACATAATGTATCTTTAATGTTTTTTTGTCTATGTGCTATTAGAGTCCATTAGAATTTCAGTCCAGTGAGATCATATTATATTATTACAGTGAAATATATTATTTATATTATTATAGGGAAGAGCTAATGATGTTAATAAAGAATTCCGTAAAGCCAGAGATGAAAATAAATTTATTGTTTCACCACCCTGGTTACAGGCAGTAAGTAGTTATTAAACATGTATTACGTAACAACTAAATTTATTTTCTGGCTTTAAATGTTATATAGATTATTAATTAGACAATTATTAACATGATCATTGCACTCAAGCCTGGAAATAAGGCACTTGTCACAGACAATGTCAGGCAAAGATTCAGGCTTTGTCAGGCCTGACATTTTGTCCAGTACTGATTTGTCTTTTTTATTGATATTATTAATACATGTCCGGCACTAAGTTGAAAATGTCAGGTACTATATGATTAGTGCCTGACATTTAGCCAGGGACATCGAAAACCATTATTTCCAGGCCTGCATTGCACAGCTGAAAATCAAGACTTCATTATCGGGGAAATGGTACTTGACATTGAAGACTATTGAAGCGATTTCTTATCAAAACTTCAAACATTCATAACTTCATAATTTGAATTTTTTTTTCAATATATTAACGAAAATCTGTCTTTTATAATGATGGACATGGAACGCTGTTTCTTTATGAATGATGTGATGTAACTTTCTGTTTCTTTTCAGTGTCAAGAACAACAGGTTAAAGTTCAGGAGTCTTTGTTTCCTCATAATTATAATCCTAAACTTAGCTTGGTATGTTTATATCTATCATAATTATAATCCTAAACTTAGCTTGGTATGTTTATATCTATCATAATTATAATCCTAAACTTAGCTTGGTATGTTTATATCTATCATAATTATAATCCTGCTTATTGTCCATGTATGAATCAAAACTTGTATAAATATTTTGGTGTGTGTGGGGGGGGGGGGGGAATGGATAGCACATGCAGTTGTGTAGTTGTATTATAAAGTCTGTCGTTGAGTCAGCTGACATGGTTTTGATTGACCTGTTTTACATGAAAAGGAGTAGTGTTACATGTCAAACCTAGTGGGTTTTCTCCGGGTCCTTTGGTTTCCTCCCACTGCTAAAGACCCCTATGCAAAAGTGAATTATTGAAATAAAATTGTACCTTATGTTAGTCCCAAAATGATCTAGTATGTGTCGAGTGGACGTTAAACACCATTTCTCTCTCCCTCTTTCGTTTGGTTTTTTATAGTTAAGAATTTCGTTTTACTTGTCTTTACTACACCATGATCTGGAAGAGTTGTTATTTAACTCGTGTTCTGAATGGTGTCAGGGATAAGCCAATGAAACGGTCTGTTACGGCTAGTTTTTGGCGTGAGGTACACCGAACAGTGGGTAACCAACTAGAAGCATCACGCTGATTGGTTAATCAAATGTCTGACATCATAGGGTCAAAAGCCGCTTGTATGACCTCTGACACGACCTACCAGTACAGCTTGTCAGATCTTCGTGTAGTGTATGCCATCGAAAGTATAGTGTTGTGTTTGGATCACTACCTTTGATATGCCTTCTATATATCAGCACGTGGATGGACGGTCATATTCATATCTCAAACTTCCCTATATATTAAAACAAGACATTCTCGTGGTACGACCACACTTCGAAGTATGTGCATCTTTTATTAACTTCAATATATATTACAGAGAAGAGTGGGCAGGGGCAGATAACTCCCGTCTCACGTGACTTATATTACAATCATGATCATCCAATAAAGGATCAATACGACATCCCCCTTTCTCCCAAAAATAAGAAACTGGAGTATTACAACATATTGACTTATGAAAAAGGATCTATATGATAATAGAAAAACAAAACGAAATATAGATCTGTATTATAATCAGATTAAACTCTTACTAAACCAGTACAACAAACACATTTTCTAATCTACATAGGTCTATATTTTTTTTTGTCTAGAATGTGATGTCGAAATCTACACCAAGAGCTACTCCAGTCCGACCAGCACGACAAGCTGTACGCTCAACACGTACAAATAATTCCCAATCAACATCTCCTAAACCTGTCCCTAAATTAAACTTGAATAATATGTTGAGCGATGCTTTCAGTGGTACTGATAATAAAACTTCAAGTGAAAGTGAAAGAGACACAAGAAAAGATGGCGATCATTCAAAGAAAGAGAAGAGTGACAGCGAGAAAGATGAAACCAAAAACTCAACAGATACAGATAGAAGTCCTGTGATAGGTCGCGAAAATAATAAAACGAAATCGTCAAGTGGAAGCGATAGCAATAAAGACAAAACCTCAAAAGATGTTGACGATAAACACGAGGTAAGATTATCGTCAGATCTTGTCGCCAGTGTTCATGTAAATTCTGTTATTATCCAGAGAGTCACGGTGGCTAAGTGGGTAAATCGCTGGCTCGCCAGCATTGAGGTAGGGTTTTTCGATCCCTGCATTGGCCAAGAAAGTTCATCCAGATTTTCTGGCGTGGTTCCCCTTTGTCAGTGATGCAGGACGGAGAGTCTGACAAGGACAGCTGTCTAGTCTTTCGGATGGGATGAAAAACAGAGGTCCTGTGTTCACATTGGCGTGCACATAAAAGATCCCTTGGCAGTTGGAATTCGATATAAGAGTAGGCCATAGGACGTTAAACCCCATTTCATTTCGTTATTATCCAGTGCAGTGGAAATGACAGACTTTAATTTCTGATCATCCAATTGGGTATCACACATGTAAAAGTTTACTGGTGTGGTTTCCCCTTGTCAGTGGTGCAGGACGAAGGACCTGACATGGGAACAATGTCTAGTCGTTCAGATGGGACCACAAACCATGGTCCTGTGTACACATTGAGATGTATATAAAACAACCTTCGAGAGTTGGAATTCAAAATAAGAGTAGACAGTAGCGCCGTTGCCGGGCAAAACGTTCCTTATAGCACATAGAATACCTGTCTTCATTAGACCAGCCGGTGCCGAAAAGTAGGGACTTTTTCTATCAACTCTTGGACGAGAATGTTTGACGCGAACAGAACAACAAGTGGGTTTAATTACAACTTCAAAATGATGTTTAATACAAACCATAATTACCAGTACACTTGACTTCAACTTTTCAGACAAATTAAGGTTAAATAAAGGGTACAGTGGACCTGTATTTGTCCGGGATGGTGCCATTAAATGGTGTTCGTTGAAAAAGTGACTTGGAGCGTTCTTCCCGGGGTTCTTCATATATTAACGACTATTAAAGATTTGTTTTGTATTTGTAGGAAGTAGAGAAAGATTCTGGTGGAACTTTAGAAATGAGAATGGCTATATCCAAACAGTTAGATGACATGATGGCATCAGCCAAGTAAGTCTTCACTTGAATCTGTTTCTACATAAAATCATTTATATATCTCATGCTTTCACAAAATGTTTTCAAATGTACTGCACAATATAAGGTGTGGGGGGGGGGGGTGGATGGCCGAATTGGTAGCACGTGCGCACAGTATCATAAGGTCTGTCATTGAGTCAACTAGCGTGGTTTCGACTTCCCCAGTTGTAATTGGCAAGGAGTAGGATCGCCTGTCCAACCTCGTGGGTTTTCTCTGGGTTCTCCAGTTTCCTCCCACTGCTAAAAGACCCCAGGAAAAGATGGACTTCTGATATCCAACATTTAATTCAAAATAAACATTTTACCATTGGTACACGAATCGTTTACCATAATGTGTTTCAGAGCCATTTGTAACAAGGGGCTCGAAGAACGAAGCTAGACATATTCCACAACCGGTGACGCCATATTCTTATGTGGAGAGCATGCACAATAAATACTGTCTGTGTAGACTAGAGATTGCCATTCGATTGAGACTAATGGCGTAATTCGCCGAACATATATGATTTGAAATTGAGTAAAAACGGAAATGATTGAATGTGAATCAGTTTATATACATTCAAATTACATGGGTTGTGACCCATTTTTGTCAATTTCTAGGTCCGAAATATTAGCGATTTATCTCTTTTTTAAGTATCCATAAATTTTCAATTTATAATATTTTTTTAAGATCAAAGAAACCAGCAAAAAGAAAAAGTTTAAAACGATTGAATTGTAAGTATATTCTATATTCTGTATTCCCTTGTCAGTGGTGCAGGACGGAGGGCATGACAAGGACAGCTGTCTAGTCATTCGGATTGTACGAAAAAACGTGGTCCAATGTACACATTGGCGTGCATGTAAAAGATCCCTTGGCAATTGTAAGTCGATATATTAGTAGGCCTTAGTGCCGCTGTCCTGACAAAATTTCCCTCATAGCACACTGTATGGCATATGACCGTCTTCATTAGCCCAGTCCGTAGCAAAACAGTAGGGCGTTAAACCTCATTTCATTTCATTTCAAACATTTTTATGAAAATGTAAACTGTGTTGTAAAGACAAATATATAGTAACCAACATTTAATATTGTTCCAACTTTAGCTAGTTAGAATTTATCTATCTCAGTACGTTCCAAAATATGGGGGAGGGGTCTAGCCGTTTAATGCGTACACATGAAATCATAAGGTCTGTCATTGAGTCAACTGGCGTGGTTTCGATTCCCCTGTTGTCTGTGACAAGGAGTAGGATCGTCTGTCCAACCTCGTGGGTATTGTCAGTGTCCTCTGGTTTCCTACTACTTCTAAAGACCACTTCACGCAAGCACAAATTATTTAAATAAAAATTGAACCATATGTTAGTCCAAAAATGACCTAGTTTGTGTCGAGTGAACGTCAAATCCCATTTCTATCCAAAATATGCCTAGTCACAGCATATTAATGGCTATTTCCTTGTTATGGTTTAAAATAATTTGTCAAAATAATTTTTTTTGCCATGGAAGTTGCCATCAGGTTTTTTGTTTGGATGGGATCAAATAAAATAAGAGGTTATGTGGCAGTTGGAATTTGATCAAAACTTCCCTTATAGCATACTGTATGCTTCTCTTCATTAACCCAGTTGGTGCAGAAAAGTAGGATGTTAAACCCCATTTCATTTTCAAAATTATTTTACAGCAAGTGGTCAGTTGAATTCATCTGATAGTCGACCATCATCTAGACAGGAAACATGGGGTAAATATAATTATACTTTTATAGAAAATATATTTATACTTGTATAGAAAATATATTTATATTTGTATAGAAAATATATTTATATATATGGGTTTTCTCTGGTTCTTCTGGTTTCCTTCCACTGCTAAATACCCCTACACCCAAGCAAATTATTAAAATAAAATTGAACCACATGTTAGTCCCAAAATGACTTAGTTTGTGTCTAGTAATTCTATTTATCTACTGCAGATAAAAATCCTGAAAAACGTAAAACAAGATCTACAGGTGAGTTACAATGTCTGTCATCAACTAACGTTTCAAAGAATAAAATGGTTATTCCAGTCTACACCGATAGTATTTATTGTGCATTCTCTTGTGGAATATGACTTGTGGAATATGTCGAGCCTTGTTCTTCAATTCCCATGTTGCAAATGGCACTAAAACACATTCTGAGACACGATTTGTGTACCAATGGTAAAAAAATTTTTTTGTCTTTAATAAGCTCTTTTCCCAATAAGATCACAACATCAATGTTGATTTAAATTGACAAATAATTTGTGTTTTCAATGTCGAAGACTGTGGATGATATTGAATTAAAGACTTAGCTACTTAAATTTGTATTATTGATGATTATGTTATTTAGGTAAAACAAATGATGAATTTTCTGGACCAACGGAATCACAGAGTGTATTAGTTACATGGGATGATCCTGTAGGAAGGTAAGATATGTTATACAATAATCTAAACAATAAAATAAAATAAAATGGGATGTTTAATGTCCTACTTTTCTGCACCGACTGGGCTAATGATGACTGGTATACAGAGTGCTGTGAGGGACATTTTGCCCAGACAGTGACACTACACTACTCTTATTTTGAAATCCAACTGTCAAGGGTTCTTTTATTTGTGCGCTAATGTGTTCAGGGGACCACAGTTGACATGTCCTGCACCTGAGATCTTTTGGTTAACGAGCCAGCATCTTACTGAGGGGGGTTGGATGGCTGAATGGTTAGCGCGTGCGTGTTCTATCAGGTCTGTCATTGAGTCAACTGGCGTGATTTCTGTCCCCGGATGTACGTGACAAGGAGTAGTGTCGCCTGTCAAACCTCGTGGTTTTCTTCGGGGTCCTCCGGTTTCCTCCCACTGCTAAAGACCCCTACACGCAGGCGAATTATTAAAATAAAATTGAACCATGTTAGTCCCGAAATGACCTAGTTTGTGTTGAGTGGACGTTAAACCCCATTTCTGTCTCTCTCCAACTGTCAATGTGTACACAGGACCTCAGTTGACATGACCTGAACCCAAGATCTGGTTAACGATCCAGCATCTTACTCACTGAACCACTGTGGTTCTCTGTATCCTTGTGGGTATTGTATGTATAATTGAAAGTAATATATGATGTAATGTTCCGTAGATTAGAGAATAATAATAATAATTGATTTATATAGCGCCAACCATTCAACTCAGTACAACTAATATAAAGTTACAACAATCACAACACATTAATCCATAAAAAAGACATAAACAGAAAAACAGAGAACATTTTTTAGTAGACATGGTAAAAGTCTGACACAAACACAGCTAGAACCGTATTCAAAGTAATATATGATGTAATGTTGTGTTATGATGTTTTGTAGATTGGAGAAAGAGAAGTTAGCAGCTAAATTAGAACAAGCTTGTAGTCCAACACAGACTCAGAATACAGATGATTGTATGGCTGGTTTAGATATGCCAGAAGATGCTCAATATTCAGATGTAGAAGATCAAGCTAATACTTCTACTCATTCAGATAATAGAAAGGTAGGGGTATATCAGTTATATATTACTTATACTCATTCAGATAAATATAATACTTCTACTAATTCAGATAATAGAAAGGTTGGGATATATCAGTTATATATTACTTCTACTCATTCAGATAAAAGAAGGGTAGGGATATATCAGTTATATCATACTTCTACTCATTCAGATAATAGAAAGGTAGGGATATATCAGTTATACCATACTTATACTCATTCAGATAATAGAAAGGTAGGGATATATCAGTTATATAATACTTCTACTCATTCAGATAATAGAAGGGTAGGGATTAATATATTAAAGATATGTTATGGGAGATTAGATAAAGAGCTGGCAGTTCTCACTATAATAGTTAAAAACTAGATATTGTAAAGGGAATTTGCTGAAAATTTAAGTTAAATTGATCCTCTCTGAACCGAGAATTTAGCGATTGAATTTTTTGCCTAACCTCGTTTATCATTACTAAAGTCGGTACGATAAAAAACATAGTCTTGATTATCCATTTCATGATTAAATCATGAATAAATTTTGAGCAGCAAATCAGATCTTAACCCAGTAAATATCGCAGGCTTGATTATTGTCTGGATAAGTTAATTAATGTCTAATCGATAATTTAGATAACATTTCAGGCCTAAGAAAGATCTGAAATGGGCAGATTTAGCTCTTGCGTAATGTATGTTTAAGTTCTATATTGATGTTAGTGGGGTTGGGTGGCTGAATGATTAAACGTTAGATCATACAGTCATTGAATCAAATGGTGTGGTTTTCATACTCCACTTGTATGTGACAAGAAGTAGGGGTGTCTTGCCTGACTGAATGGTTAAACATGTTTATTTTATCTGTAGAATATTGGGGATGTAGAAACTGTGGGGTATTCATGTATTCAATCTATAGAACATTAGGGATGTAAAAAATGTGGAGTGTACTATATTAAATGTGTAGAACATTGGGGATGTAGAAACTGTAGGGTATTCATTTATGAAATGTGTTTATTCCAGCATAATTCACCACGAGATACGAGAACTCCAACACCAGAAGCTCCATCATTAGGTAATATTTTATAATATATTGGAAAGTGTTATTAATGATTAAGACAGTGGCAGCTTAGTCCTGGTTTCCGAGAAGTTATTTTTTTCCAGAGTAATCTCGTAAACCGTTCAAGATATCAGCCTATTTATTATGAATTTTAGTAAAATTAGAAATCTTTGAGTGGGGAGTTGCGAATAGTTTCGTTCAGTTCAAACTTATCAAGCTTAAGTGAGATAGGGCAGATGTTCCCTTTATGTTGGGAACAGGAGCACAAAATTTTAGTAGTTGTGAAATTTTATGTTTCCATGGAAACACATTTGACTTAGTTTTTGGTGTATAATTTTGTTTCTAGATATCTTTATAAAACTTTGAACACACATCAATCTATTATAGTAGTTGTGTCTTTTACTAATTGGAAAGAACCACGGTGGCTCAATTGGTTGGACGTTGGCTTGCTAACCGAGAGGTCCCGTTTTCGACCCCTGCATGGGCCGAGAAAGTTCATTGAGGTTTTCTGGCATGGTTCCTCCTTGACAGTGTTGTGGGACTGAGTTCGTAAAAAACGAAAAACCAAGGTCCCGTGTACACATTTGCGTGCACATTAAAGATCTCTTGACAGTTGGAATTCGATATAAGAGTAGGCCGCAGTGCCGCTGTCCGGGCAAAATTTCCCTCATAGCACACTGTATGGCGTATGCCAGTCTTCATTAGCCCAGTCGGAGCAGAACAGTAGGACGTTAAACCCCATTTCATTTCATTTCACTAATTAGAGATTTCTCAGATTTACTAATAAATTATCCAAGGCCACAGACTGTTGATAACTGAGTCATTTTATTTGTCTTGCAGCTTTTCCAATAAATCGTAAATCTGTATCTATAAAATCCCCTGAACCTGTTGAATTGATAGATGATGATCATCACCATGCCGACGATAATTTACATATACCACAATATATGTTCTTATTATCTGGTATGACTAACGAGGTAAGTACAAATTGATGAGACTTCACTTCTCTTAATCAAGGAGGTGTGGGTGGCCGAATGGTTAACATGTGCGTGTTGTATCATAAGGTCTGTCATTGAGTCAACTGGCATGGGTTGGATGGCTGAATGGTTAGCGTGCGCGCGCTGTATCATAAAGTCTGTCATTGAGTCGACTGGCATGGTTTCGAATCCCCGGTTGTATGTGGCAAGGAGTAGGGTTGCCTGTCCAACCTTGTGGGTTTTCTCCGGGTCCTCCGGTTTCCTCCCACTGCTAAAGACCCCTACACGCAAGCGAATTATTGAAATAAAATAAAACCATATGTTTGTCCCGAAATGACCTAGTTTGTGTCGAGTGGACGTTAAACCCCATCTCTCTCTCTCTCTCTCTCTCTCTCTCCCGCTTGTGCATGACAAGAAGTAGGGTCACCTGTTCAACCTCGTGCGTTTTCTATGGGTCCTCCGGTTTTCCCCCACTACTAAAGACCCCTATGCATAAGCGAATTATTGAAATAAAATTGAACCATATGTTAGTCCCCAAATGACCCAATTTGTGTCAAGTGGACGTTAAACCCCATTTCTCTCTCTCTTAACCCTGGGGAATGGTGGTGGCCGAAAGGATTAACGGGTGCACTTTAGATCGTATAGTCGCATATTGAGTCAAGTGGCGTGGTTTCATATCCCTGCTTTTACATGACAGTGAGTAGGGTCACCTGTCCAACCTTATGGGTTTTCTCCGGGTCCTCCAGTTTCCTCCCACTTCTAAATACCCCTATTGAAATAAAATTGATTATTCTATTTTGTATATTTTCTAGGAAAGAGTAGATTATGGAGCTTTAATTGAACAATTGGGTGGAAAGTTTATTGATGGACAGAATTACGATTCTGCTGCCACACATCTCGTTACAGGTAAATATATTCTTTTATCTGACTGATCCACTATCTGTATTCTGAATTAAAACTGTTTGGGAGATGTCATACTTGATAATGTTGGTGTAATATTTATTCAGGTTTCCTACGCCTCTAAGTATGAATATCATTTGGAAGATTGAGGTATCTCTTGTAAACTACAATATTGTGATAATTGAATCTATAATAGTAATATCAATTCAATCTACAATATTGTGATAGTTTAATCTCTAATAGGAATATCAATTCAAAAATGGTTCAATTCCATTCAGATTTCGGCATCCTCTGTACAGGGTATAAATCGGATATTGTCAAAAGCTTAGATAAAAACTTTTTGGGGGGCTTCTTGTTACACTGAATGAATCCAAGCGGGGAGATTGATACATTTGATTGATTTATTTTTTTTAGCGTTGATTAAGCCAGAGAATATTTGATATTTTCAAATCAAATGTGACTCTAATCTTAATACTAATATTTGTTATCTCTTTCAGGTTGCCCAGGAAGGAATGAGAAATTTCTGGCTTGTGTTGCTGCAGGAAAATGGATTTTACATAAATCCTATTTTGAAGCATGTCGACAACAACATAAATTTGTACAGGTTATTTAAACCTCCATTTTAAAAGAGCTAAATCTTCCTAATGCAGGTCTTTCTTTAGGCTTGAATTGTTTTCTGAATTATTAATTAGACATTAATTAACTGATCTAGGCCATAATCACCTCTCGATGGCATCAGATTTCTCCGATATTAGATAGATTAGAAAAGAAAGGTTCAGCCATATTTTGAATTAATTTTAAAATGGAGGAGCGAGACTTAGCTTCTAACAACCAGTACGGTGGTAGCAATTATTGCACACATCTTGTCAAATCTTCAAAGGCTAATATCTTTGCTTGCGGGAGGTGAAAGTAACAGCACATGTTATATTTTACAGGAGGAATTATATGAGTGGGGAAGTGAAAGTACGAGATCTTTACCTGGAATAAATAGAACTGTTATGAATCTGGCCATAGCAGCTAATACCTGGAGACAAAAAATACAAGAAATGACTAAGGTTTTTAACTTTTTTTATCACATTTCTGAAGTGAGTGAGAGCAAGACTTTTATGTCCATTTGGCACAAACTAGATAATTTCTAGATTAAGAAATGGTACAATTTATTTCAATAATTCACTTGCACAAAGAGTTTTTAGCATTGGGAAGAACTGAGAGAAAATCCAAAAGATATGTATGGCAGGTGCTCCCTACTAGACCTTATGATCGAAAGCACTTTCATGACACTTCTCAAGTCTTCTCAATATAAGGGGGGGTTGTGTGACCAAATGGTTAACGCATGCGTATTGCATCATTAGGTTTGTCATTGAGTCAAGTGGTGTGGTTTCAATTCCCCACTTGTACGTGACAAGGAGTAAGGTTGCCTGTCCAACCTCGTGGGTTTTCTCCGGGTCTTCTTGTTTCCTACCACTGCTAAAGACCCCTATGTACAAGCGATTTATTGAAATAAAATTAAACCGTGTTAGTCCAGAAATGACCTAGTTTGTATTTAGTGGATGTTAACCTCATTTCTCTCTCTCTCTTCTCAATATAAGAAAAGTTCGAATAATTAAAAAGTTTTTGTATTGTATGATTTCTGTGTATTTTAGAGTCAAGAGAAAGGTGGAGCGTTTCTAGGATGGAAAGTTATTCTACATACAGATAAGAAGAAAGAGAGTAATTTTATACGATTGTTAGTAGCTGGTGGTGCTCAAGTTATACCTGTCAAGTTAGTTATATCACATTTTTTATAGTTCAATGATACAGGATGGAGGGCCTGGCAAGGAACATTGTCTAGTCATTCTGATGGGACAAAATAACATAGGTCCTGTGCATTTAATTAGTCGTTCGGATAGGACTAACATATGGTTCAATTATATTTCAGTAATTCATGTGCGCATAGGGGTCTTTAGCAGTGGGAGGAACCAGTGGACCCGGAGAAAAACCATGAGGTTGGACAGGTGACCGTACTCCTTGTCACATACAACCGGGGAATCGAAACCATGCCAGTTGACTCAATGACAGACCTTATGATACAACATGCACACGCTAACCATTCGGCCATCCAATCAGTGAGTAAGATGGTGGCTCAGTCACCAGGAGATCTCGGGTGCAGGACATGTCAACTGAGGTCACATGTACACATCGGCGCACAAATAAAAGAACCTTTGACAGTTGGTATTCGATATAAGAGTAGGCCATAATCTCGCAGCCCGGGCAAAATTTCCCTCATAGCACACTGTATGGCGTATGCCCATCTTTATTAGCCCAGTCAGAGCAAAATAGTAGGCCGTTAAACTTCAGTTCATTTAAATGATCCCTTAGACGACTTTACAATGAACTCTAGTTTCTACGTCGTCAATCTAATTGAGTTGATGTAAAAGATTAGTTGTACTTTATTGATTGTTACAAAGAATTTTGTAAACTAGCATTGAAGCTGAAGAAATGAAACAGGTATGATTATTTGGATGGGGGGTAATATAACCTGGATATTATTAGTTTATTAATAGATCTGTATTTAGAATTAGACTTGGATCTATATCATAGTTGTATTATTTCAGACCACCATATACACCAGATATATCAGCTACTCACGCTTTCCTAGAATTACGTAAACTTCCCCTCGAACAGGTAATAATTATATTTACACCTGATAAAGTTCTGATTTTCTTTCCATTTCATATCTGTAACACTGTTTTAGTGATAACAGAGATCAGTTTAGTAAATATATCATTTATTTACATTGGAACGAAATAGAAAAGAGCTACTTAAATACCACAGGAATATAAATTAAGCATCAACACGGTGCATTAAAGATACATTATGGGAGATAAGATAAAGAGCTGGCAGTTCTCACTATAATAGTTAAAAACTAGATTATGTCAAGGCAATTTGCTGAAAATTTCAGTCAAATTGATCCACTCTGAGCTGAGATTTTAGCGATTGAATTTACGGCCTAGCCTCGGTCATCATTACTAAAGTCGGTAGGATAAAAAACATAGTCTCGGTTATCCATTTCTTGATTAAATTATGAATTGAAGTCAAACAGCAAATCGGAACCTAATCCAATAAACATCGCAGGCTATCGATGTCATCGAAGGTTGATTATGGTCTGGATAAGTTAATGTCTAATTAATAATTTAGATAATATTTCAGACCTAAAGAAAGACCTGTAATAAGATGATTGAGCTCTTGCATAATGCATGTTTAAGGGCTGATATATTTATCTATTTATACAGGGTGATCTAGAGTGTTTATTAAGGGCTGATGTATTTATATATTTCTACAGGGTGATCTGGAGTGTTTATTAAGGGCTGATATATTTATATATTTATACAGGGTGATCTAGAGTGTTTATTAAAGGCCGATATATTTATATATTTATACAGGGTGATCTAGAGTGTTTATTAAGGGCTGATGTATTTATCTATTTATACAGGGTGATCTGGAGTGTTTAATAAGGGCTGATGTATTTTTACAGGGTGATCTGGAGTGTTTATTAAGGGCTGATGTATTTATATATTTTATACAGGGTGATCTAGAGTGTTTATTAAGGGCTGATATATTATGTTTAAAACCTGAGTTTATACCTGTACATCTAACAGATCCAACTGGTTCACCTGATGATTATATACCTACAGAAATACTAGCATTAAAAGCCAGGTAAATTATAAATTCTAGCTTTAAAGTTGAATCTTGATGTTCAATTTCCCTTCAGTATTTATAATAAATGAAATGGGGTTTAACGTCCTACTGTTCTGCTCCGAACTGGGCTAATGAAGACGGACACACACCATACATTGTGCTATGAGGGAAATTTTGCCCGGTTAGCAGCACTATTGCCTACTCTTATATCGAATTCCAACTGCCAATGGATCCTTTACGTGTACAGCAATGTATACATGGGACCTCGTTTTTTTTTTTGTCCTATCCGAACGATTAGACAGCTGTCCTTGTCAGCCCCTTCCGTCCTGCACCAATGACAAGGGGAAACCACTCTGGAA